GCACACAGCAGGAATCAGGACATGATGAGTGAATAATTACTTATATAAGTAGAAATGCATGAACATGTATATCCATACCTCATACATGTGATTGGAGGCAGAATGTAAGGATGAACTAAAGGGAACATGCGCCTGATTTTGAGAAACAGTTTGAGGTTTATGAAATTAAAGAGTGGCTGGCATCATCCCTGTGTGTGTGTGTGTGTGTGTGTGTGTGTGTGTGTGTGTGTGTGTGACTTGCAGTGTGACTGGCTCAACCCCAGAGCAGTGGGCAGGCCAGAGGACATGAAGCTCTGCTTGCTGCCACAGACGTGTCTGAAAATCCCGAGTGATATGTCTTTATCTTCTGTCTCGCAGTCCCTTCCTCCAAAACCAGAGACAAAAAAAGGTCATAATGGAGGCAAAAGAGGTCAAGTAAGTAAATGTATTTGTTTACCATGCTTCTGTATAACAGTTCATTTCTATATTCCCTGCCCCTTTTCCTCTCCCAGTCATTTTGCTCCAGGACTGGCCTAACACAAATGGAAATCAAATGGTGATACTGCTTCAGGGGGACTAAACCAGGCAACCCTCAGAGCTGGAATATCATTCTGCCCCCACCTCTCTGGCAACAGGCTGCCAGGCCATCACTGCTTGCAGTTGTCTGGCCAAGTGAAATCTCAGAGGGCCTGGAGAGGCTCTTATGACTAATAGGATTACATGGGAAACCCTCTAGGTGAAGTGCTGGGGAAGATGAATCTCTCTGAATACTAGCTCAAAGGCATATAGGATGTTTTGGCTCTTAATTTTAATACTACCAAAGAAAGAAAGAAAAAGCACAAAAAGATAGAAGTTCCTTCCTCTGGTCCCCCAAAAGCACTGAGGCACCATTTCAGATGAACCATTGCCAGAGCTCAGATTTTGCCAGGAGGGTCAGGCAAACAAGCCTGGTGAAAATGGGCTGCAGAGCCTCAGCCAGCTGAACTTGATCAGTCCATCACTTTGGTGACTGTGGGCGCTCTGACAGATACACCTATTATATGCCTGACTTTCAGCAATATAGTTAGAACAACCAACAAGAACCCCGAAGATAATGCAAATGGATGAGGGTTGCTCACATGTGTGATATTTGCTCTGATAACCCTGCAATCACTACCTGGATGTCAGGGACTTCAGGGTCCGTTGAAGTCATCAGCAAGAAGGACTAGTAAAGGAAGGAGAGAGAAGGACTTGGTGGAGATAAAAAGTTAAGTTCCTCCTTAAACTTGGGAGAGAGAAGAGAAATGTGTGAACAGATACAGCAGTAAGTAAAATCCTTGACAGGTGTGTATACTAGAATTGGACCTTGCAAGAGAGGCAGGGGCTGGTGAGCAAGTAGCAAATCTCAGCTCTGTTCCCTTCATTCCAGCAGGTTGTCTGATGTATTCTGAGAAACTTAGACCAAGATCAGCCCTTCCTGAGATCAGCTTTACTACTCCCCCCGCCTCCCCACCATCAGAAACAGGATAGATGATAGATTCTAGAGAGGCAGCCATACCAGAATTAGAGGCATGGACTCTAGCTCAACTACCTGGATTAAAATCTGTTCCAACTTACTCAACTCTCTCTTAAATAGGGATAATAATGGTACCTGCTTCATGGGATTGATGTAAGGAGTAAATGTGTTTACTTTATGTAAAGTGTTTAGAATGATACCTGGCATTTAGTAAGCACCAAGTAAGTGATGCTTTCATAGTTTTGAAGACTCCGTAATGAAACTCCTTAACTGACACACAAAAATTTCCCCAACTATTCCTTTGCCAAATAAAAGGTTCCTCTCACTGACATTAAAAATGTTGGATGGTTCTTATAATTAACTAGTACTATCATCAGTAAAAATAGGATATTTATACCTACTTTCATGTTTGCTCTTGAGACTGGTACACACACACACACACACACACACACACACACACACACACACACACACCCTTTAGTGATTCTGCTTCAACTTACATTAAAATTGCATAGTGACAATTTATGATGAGGGCACGTCAAGGCTGACCTTGCAATCGAAGCCTATGGCTGCCTGTCCCCTGAGCTCATTTGGGTCCTCAAATCTTCCACTGCAATGCATCCTCAGTGCTACATCCCTTTAGCTGAAGTCTTCAATCCCTTTTAAAATAAAACCTTTCCTGAAGGAGAGTTAAATTTTTAAGTTTTAACAGTTATAGTCTTCTAAAGGAAAATGGAACATAGGAAAGAGCAGGTTTGGAGGAAGAAGGCAGTTAGGGACAGGCAGGACAGACATTTACAGGGACAGCCTGTAGAGTCACCAACCTGGTGGTTATGGCTCAGGTGAGCCCGTGTACAATGATAGAGCCAATAAAGAGATAATAACATGGGCAACAAAAGAGAGCAAAGTGTGTTCCTAGGTCAAACTTGAAAACCGTGGGAGTAAGATAATTATTCCCAGATACTGCAAGACAATCATCTGCCCGAAAATATGCAGAGATGAGTGGGAACTAGGGGCAGGATTAATCGAGAATCAGAGGACCTCGTGTTTGGAGAGCTGTGTCTGGTTACAAATTGCCAGCCACTGGAAGCCCCAAGAACCTTAATGTGCTATATTTACGTGCATGATTTTCTTGATCCTGAAGCAGCAGATCACCAGCAAGATGTCCCATCTTGGCTGTTTAACCATGAATTATGACACCATAGAGCAGCCACTGCTCCTAATACAAGGAATCTGTGCGAACATGGGGCTAGAAATGGGAACGGATCTCCATCTAGCCATCAACTGTGCTGCACATGAACTGATGGACTATGTAAGTTTCCACTCCAGAACATTTACTTTTTGTTGCAGTCTCATTGTTTTTAAATTAGAACTCAAAAGAAGAGCCTATCTGTACGTATTTCCAAAGAAATCCTATTTTTTAAGCTAGTATCATGGGAGGGGTCCAAATATACTGGAGTTGAGAGAGGCAAGTTACCTAATGACCAGACAACAACATAACCAGATAACTTTAAAAATTAACAGAAATGTCACCATAATTATATATAGAAATTCTGTAATAAAAATGTCTAAAATGGATTGCTTACATTGAAATCATGAAAACTATTGAAAAATAATTTAACAAACTGGTATGTTCTGCAGAGTACATTCATTTGGTTGGTGAATGCTGAGTTGGTCAAGCATAAAAAGTGGGTCAGTTGTAACTATGACTTGATAAGCCCTTCTAGACATGTGGTTCTTCGAGTTTCTGCTGGTGATTCACTTTTTTTTTTGAATTTTTGCATTTTATTTTATTTTTTTATACAGCAGGTTCTTATCAGTTACCTATTTTGTACATATTAGTGTATACATGTCAATCCCAATCTCCTAATTCATCACACCACCACCCCCCGCCACTTCCCCCCTTGGTGTCCATACGTTTCTTCTCTACATCTGTGTCTCTATTTCTGCCTTGCAAACTGGTTCATCTGTACCATTTTTCTAGATTCCACATATATGTGTTAATATACGATATTTGTTTTTCTCTTTCTGACTTCATTCTGTATGACAGTCTCTAGGTCCATCCACATCTCTACAAATGACCCAATTTCATTGCTTTTTATGGCTGAGTAATATTCCATTGTATATATTTACCACATCATCTTTATCCATTCGTCTGTCGATGGGCATTTAGGTTGCTTCCGTGACCTGGCTATTGTAAATAGTGCTGAAGTGAACATTGGGGTGCATGTGTCTTTTTGAATTATGGTTTTCTCTGGGTATATGCCCAGTAGTGGGATTGCTGGATCATATGGTAATTCTATTTTTAGTTTTTTAAGGAACCTCCATACTGTTCTCCATAGTGGCTGTATCAATTTACATTCCCACCAACAGTGCAAGAGGGTTCCCTTTTCTCCACACCCTCTCCAGCATTTGTTGTTTGTAGATTTTCTGATGATGCCCATTCTAACTGGTATGAGGTGATACCTCATTGTAGTTTTGATTTGCATTTCACTAATAATTAGTGATGTTGAGCAGCTTTTCATGTGCTTCTTGGCCATCTGTATGTCTTCTTTGGAGAAATGTCTATTTAGGTCTTCTGCCCATTTTTGGATTGGGTTGTTTGTTTTTTTAATATTGAGCTGCATGAGGTGTTTATATATTTTGGAGATTAATCCTTTGTTGATTTGTTTGAAAATATTTTCTCCCATTCTGAGGGTTGTCTTTTCGTCGTGTTTGTAGTTTCCTTTGCTTTGCAAAAGCTTTTAAGTTTCATTAGGTCCCATTTGTTTATTTTTGTTTTTATTTCCATTACTCTAGGAGGTGGATCAAAGAAGATCTTGCTGGGCTTCCCTGGTGGTGCAGTGGTTGAGAGTCCGCCTGCTGATGCAGGGGACACGGGTTTGTGCCCCGGTCCGGGAAGATCCCACATGTCGCGGAGCGGCTGGGCCCGTGAGCCATGGCCACTGAGCCTGTGCATCCGGAGCCTGTGCTCCACAATGGGAGAGGCCACAACAGTGAGAGGCCCGTGTAAAAAAAAAAAAGAAGAAGAAGATCTTGCTGTGATTTATGTCAAAGGGTGTTCTTCCTATGCTTTCCTCTGAGAGTTTTATAGTGTCCAGGCTTACATTTAGGTCTCGAATCCATTTTGAGTTTATTTTTGTGTACGGTGTTAGGGAGTGTTTTAATTTAATTCTTTTGCATGTAGCTGTCCAGTTTCCCCAGCACCATTTATTGAAGAGACTGTCTTTTCTCAATTGTATATCCTTTCCTCCTTTGTCATCGATTAGTTGACCATAGGTGCGTGGGTTTATCTCTGGCCTTTCTATCCTGTTCCATTGATCTCTATTTCTGTTTTTGTGCCAGTACCATGCTGTCTTGATTACTGTAGCTTTGTAATATAGTCTGAAGTCAGGGAGTCTGATTCCTCCAGCTCTAATTTTTTTCCCTCAAGACTGCTTCGGCTATTCAGGGTCTTTTGTGTCTCCATACAGATTTTAAGATTTTTTTGTTCTAGTTCTGTAAAAAATGCCATTGGTAATTTGATAGGGATTGCATTGAATCTGTAGATTGCTTTGGGTAGTAGAGTCATTTTCACAGTATTGATGCTTCCAATCCAAGAACATGTAGATCTCTCCATCTGTTTGTATCATCTTTAATTTCTTTCATCAGTGTCTTATAGTTTTCTGCATACAGGTCTTTTGTTTCCCTAGGAAGGTTTATTCCTAGGTATTTTATTCTTTTTGTTGCAATGGAAAATGCGAGTGTTTCCTTAATTTCTCTTTCAGATTTTTCATCATTAGTGTATAGGAATGCAAGAGATTTCTGTGCATTAATTTTGTATCCTGCAACTTTACCAAATTCATTGATTAGCTCTAGTAGTTTTCTGGTGGCATCTTTAGGATTCTCTATGTATAGTATCATGTCATCTGCAAACAGTGACAGTTTTACTTCTTCTTTTCCAATTTGTATTCCTTTTATTTCTTTTTCTTCTCTGATTGCCGTGGTTAGGACTTCCAAAGCTATATTGAATAATAGTGGTGAGAGTGGACATCCTTGTCTCGTTCCTGATCTTAGAGGAAATGCTTTCAGTTTTTCACCATTGAGAATGATGTTTGCTGTGGGTTTGTCATACATGGCCTTTATTATGTTGAGGTAGGTTCCCTCTGTGCCCACTTTCTGGAGAGTTTTTATCATAAATAGGTGTTGAATTTTGTCGAAAGCTTTTTCTGCATCTATTGAGATGATCATATGGTTTTTATTCTTCAGTTCGTTAATATGGTGTATCACATTGATTGATTTGCATATATTGAAGAATCCTTGCATCCCTGGGATAAATTCCACTTGATGATGATCTTTATGATTTCTTTCCTTCTGCTAACTTTGGGTTTTGTTTGTTCTTCTTTCTCTAGTTCCTTTAGGTATAAGTTTAGATTGTTTATTTGAGATTTTTCTTGTTTCTTGAGGTAGGCTTGTATAGCTATGAACTTCCCTCTTAGAACTGCTTTTGCTGCATCCCATAGGTTTTGGATCGTCGTGTTTTCATTGTCATTTGTGTCTAGGTACTTTTTGATTTCCTCTTTGATGTCTTCAGTGATCTCTTGGTTATTTAGTAACGTACTGTTTAGCCTCCATGTGTTTGTGTTTTTTACATTTTTTTCCCTGTAACTGATTTCTAATCTCATAGCATTGTGGTCAGAAAAGATGCTTGATATGATTTTAGTTTTCTTAAATTTACTGAGGCTTGATTTGTGACCCAAGATATGATCTATCCTGGAGAATGTTCTTTGTGCACTTGAGAAGAAAGTGTTACCTGCTTTTTTTTGGATGGAATGTCCTAAAAATATCAATGAAATCTATCTGGTCTATTGTGTCACTTAAAGCTTGTGTTTCCTTATTAATTTTCTGTTTGGATGATCTGTCCATTGGTGTAAGTGAGGTGTTAAAGTCCCCCACAATTATTGTGTTTCTGTAGATTTCCTCTTTTATAGCTGTTAGCAGTTGCCTTATGTATTGAGGTGCTCCTATGTTGGGTGCATCTATATTTATGATTGTTATGTCTTCTTCTTGGATTGATCCTTTGATCATTATGTAGTGTCCTTCCTTGTCTCTTGTAACATTCTTTAAAGTCTATTTTATCTGATATGAGTATTGCTGCTCCAGCTTTCTTTTGATTTCCATTTGCATGGAATATCTTTTTCCATCCCCTCACTTTCAGTCTGTATGTGTCCCTAGGTCTGAAGTGGGTCTCTTGTAGACAGCATATATATAGGTCTTTTTTTTTTTTTTTGCGGTACACGGGCCTCTCACTGTTGCGGCTTCTCCCGTTGCGGAGCACAGGCTCTGGATGCACAGGCTCAGTGGCCATGGCTCACGGGCCCAGCCTCTCCATGGCATGTGGGTCCCCCCGGACCGGGGCACAAACCCGCATGCCCCACATCAGCAGGTGGACCCTCAACCACTGCGTCACCAGGGAAGCCCTGGGTCTTGTTTTTGTATCCATTCAGCAAGCCTGTGTCTTTTGGTTGGAGCATTTAATCCATTCACGTTTAAGGTAATTATCAATATGTACGTTCCTATTACCATTTTCTTAATTGTAATGGGTTTGTTTTCGTAGGTCCTTTTCTTCTCTTGTGTTTCCCACTTAGAGAAGTTCCTATTGTATTTAGTGTAGAGCTGGTTTGGTGGTGCTGAAGTCTCTTAGCTTTTGCTTGTCTGTAAAGCTTTTGATGTCTCCATTGAATCTGAATGAGATCCTTGCCGGGTAGAGTAATCTTGGTTGTAGGTTATTCCCTTTCATCACTTTAAATATGTCATGCCACTCCCTTCTGGCTTGTAGAGTTTCTGCTGAGAAGTCAGCTGTTCACCTGATGGGAGTTCCCTTACATGTTGTCATTTTTCTCTTGTTGCTTTCAGTAATTTTTCTTTGTCTTTAATTTTTGCCAATTTGATTACTATGTGTCTCGGCATGTTTCTCCTTGGGTTTATCCTGCCTGGGACTCTCTGTGCTTCCTGGACTTGGGTGGCTATTTCCTTTCCCATGTTAGGGAAGTTTTCTACTATAATCTTTTCAAATATTTTCTCGGGTCTTTTCTCTCTCTTCTCCTTCTGGGACCCCTATAATGCAAATGGTGTCTAATGTTGTCCCAGAGGTCTCTTAGGGTGTCTTCATTTCTTTTCATTCTTTTTTCTTTATTCTGTTCTGCAGCAGTGAATTCCACCATTCTGTCTTCCAGGTCACTTATCCGTTCTTCTGTCTGCCTCAGTTATCCTGCTATTGATTCCTTCTAGTGTATTTTTCATTTCAGTTATTATAGTGTTCATCTCTGTTTGTTCTTTAATTCTTCTAGGTCTTTGTTAAACATTTCTTGCATCCTCTCGATCTTTGCCTCCATTCTTTTTCCGAGGTCCTGGATCATCTTCACTATCATTATTCTGAATTCTTTTTCTGGAAGGTTGCCTATGTCCACTTCATTTAGTTGTTTTTCTGGGGTTTTATCTTGTTCCTTCATCTGGTATATAGCCCTCTGCCTTTTCATCTTGTCTGTGTTTCTGTGAATGTGGTTTTTGTTCCACAGGCTGCAGGATTGTATTTCTTCTTGCTTCTGCTGTCTGCCCTCTCTCACTTTTTAAATATAAAAGTATTTCTAAGTTATTGAAGTTTTTGGAGAATAATTAATAATAGTAATTAATGTCAAATTCAGGGCACATGACCAAATACTATTCCACTTTAATTTGTGATTCTTTTAACTTCAAAGGAAATCTTGAATAGTATATAAGAAACCTAAGTTTCAGCTGACTTCTAAAAGTTTTTACTTTCCTAAAGAAACTAAGCGCATAAAGGAATATTTAATGTAATTTCGTATTCTTCACATAATCATTGGTTCCTAGGCATACCAGTAAAAGAAATAATTGCATGTTTTCATCAGCAACGTATACCAAGAACTATGAAAATACTGACTGCTAGTGTTAACTAGAATGAGTATTTATTGCTTATATTTAGTAAAATGCTTTAGCTTGATATCAGATAATTCTTACAGTGTTCAAAATCATTATCATTTCCTCTCTGACAAGATAGGATTGCATACGTTTTGCAGTATAGAAACTGAGAGTTCTTGCTGCTATATTTTACGTGAAAAGAAGTATAGAATCTTTTCAATGATGGACTTATTAGGAGCCTGCTTAATTCCAATGGAATCCATTCTATTAGCAACAACAGGAAGGCATTAATAAATCAAAGAGCCATTCTGGTCCATTCCACCTCCCTCCCAGTACCTAAATACCCCAGGTGCCATCCCTGGACACAGACTTGAACTGGACATAAGGGTGCTGTGTTTACAGAGACTACACTAGATCCTCCAGCTTCGTTTACTCCTATGCTTAATGACTTGGCGGTGTTCTAGACTTCAAATGAATGGGTTGCACTAGAACTCCACTTTCAAAACAGTATTGTTACTACTAGACTTGCATGCTTGCCTTCATGTAAGTCTCTTTACATTTCATATTGGTTGTTAGTATCTCAAAAGCTTAGCCCCGCTTTCAAATTTTAGAATATTTACAGTAAACAAGCTATTCATTCACTGTGAGCTGAACAGTGGTAGTTCTAGTGAGCAGGCAGGTCTGCATTGCTATTCTGTTTATGAATTTATGTTATTGCCCATCTATCCAAGCAGTATCTTGCACCACGTTATAAAACTTAAGTAAGAAATTAATCCCCTCCTACTTTTTACTCATTTTTTGGTGCAGAAGGCTTCATCTGAAGTCATTGGGAAGAGATCTATGGGGCATCCAGAGGAATGCTGACTTGATTTTTCCCAGGTTGACATTTAACAGATATTTAAAGTAAAATGCATAGATTTCTCAGGTGAATGTGGCCTGGAAATAATCTGTTTGCAGTCTTTTATATGAAATGAATGAAAATGAATTTGAATCACATCTTTAATGTTTGAAGAATTCATCATTTATCCTTTAATATCTTCCTTATACTTATCAGAGTAAAGGAAAGTATGAAGTGATGATGGGAACCTACAAAAATGCAGCTGAGATGGTTGACCTGTATGTGGAGCTGATCAACAAGTTCCCTTCAATTATTGCCTTAATTGATCCTTTCAGGAAAGAGGTAACAGGATTCAACTTGAATTTTATAATAAAACAGAATAAAATATTTCTTTTGGATCTGTAGATTTGAAATGTGTTGTAATTTGGGCTGGGGCTGAGTTGCTTTATTTTGGCATTTTTGAGAAAAGGCACTTACTAAGCAAATGAATAGCAGAAACACACAGGAGTGTGCCTGTCTATGGAATGAAACAAGTATCTCCCAGCACTTCAGGAATACCTGGGTATTTACAAGCAGCCTAACTGATGGCAGGCAAGCCCAGTGTGCTAGCGGGTGCTTCAATAGGTTAATCACATATCATTTCCAAGTGCTCATGGAAACAGGACTTCAACTAGGCCAAATGTTTTTTAAACCTAAATCCAGTTACTATGCATGCATAGAAGTTACAAAGCCATATTTTTATTTATTTATTTATTTTTTGTTTTTGTTTTTGTTTTTTTTTGAGGTGCACTGGCCTCTCACTGTTGTGGCCTCTCCCGTTGCGGAGCACAGGCTCTGGACATGCAGGCTCAGCGGCCATGGCTCACGGGCCTAGCCACTCCGTGGCATGTGGGATCTTCCCGGACCAGGGCATGAACCCGTGTCCCCTCCATCGGCAGGTGGACTCTCAACCACTGTGCCACCAGGGAAGCCCCACAAAGCCATATTTTTAAAAGGTGTGAGATATTGAGGTTTCTGATTTATTCACACTAATGCATCTAATGCATTTTTTCACACTAATGCAAGGTTGTTTATGTGCCATAGAACTCTCTCTTCCTAACCCACTTAAACTTCAAAACTTACATTCTTGATTTTATGAATTTGAGAACCATTAGATATAGTGAGCAGGTACCCTCTTTGAGACAACTCACCTATTTAAATTTGAGGGACAAAGAGAGTGCTGGATCCTACTGGAGCCCCAGGCTCTCTCAGTCCCATCTTTCCTTTCACAGACTGTGCTACACCCCAGCACTTGTGGAAGATGCTGAGCCTAGTTCTTTAATCTTGCCAGACCCATCTTCTGCTTCTTGTCCTGAGGCTCTGGCCACAGCTCTTTTTAATGCAATAAGATGTACCTGCATGGTCTGTTCTAATGGGACAGGTTGAAATCTGGTACAATGGCTGGGAAGACTGTATATTACTATTTAAATAATGAGCATTTCATTTCATTTGGTGGTCTCACCAATAAAAAATAAGGGTGTTGGGAATGAGGGTCTACATCCCTGCAGGCTCATTTCCTTCAGTTGCCTTTTTACCAGAAATCTCCTAACCAGCCAGTCTTCAGCAGCATCATGGATAACACAGTGGGTAGGAAGAGGCTGTGCTTGACGGACATCAGAATTAATGTGGAGAATAGCATTTAATGTGTATTAACATTTTATTCACTAGATCTTCAGGCTCAAATTTAATCACTCTAAGTTTCTGTTCCGTGAAGCTTGTTAGTTCGTGTGGCTGTGGTATGGGCAACATGAAGCCGCAGATGCAAACAAACCAAGCCCCCCACCCCTGTTTTGTGTCTCAGAAAGGTGTATAACTGATTATGTGCTGTATGATTCCTGTCGTTTTGTGATGATGTCCCATACATTGTAATGATCAGTTCTTAAATATTTACCCAGGACTCTGAACAGTGGGACAGCACCTACAATGCTCTTGGTTCCAAGTGTTACATAATTGCAGGCACCGCATCCAAAAGCATCTCTAGACTTCTAGAGGATGGGAATGTTGGCATCCTCAGATGCAGCGGGCTGATCGTAAAACACACAAATCAAACTACAATGTCTGACTTGGTGGAAATAACCAATCTTATTGACAGTGAGTAAACGTATAGCTCTGAAAGACTCATAACGAACTTAAATATGCAGTGTATCAGTTAATAAAAAGCATGGAATAAATCTTGGAAGAAAAAAACACCCCAACCATTTGTGATTCGGTACTGGAAAACAAAATGCAGCTTACTACTGATTCCCTTCATAATGTTCCAGTAACAGCCCTGCCCGGGGGCCCTCCCCTTCAGGGAGGGCTACCGCAAACAGGTGGCTGAGGCCACAGCCCTCTCAGCTTCACAAGACACCACAGTGATTTTTTTCAATCACTAGCCCACAATGGCTTTTTTTCAACTCCTCAAAAGTTTCCAACTTTTTACAGCCTTGAGGTCTTTGAACATGCTGTTCCTTCGGCCTAGAATGCTTTGCCCTGTACCATTTAGTTGGCTAACTATTCCTTCAGGTCTTTTTGCCTTAAATGAAACCTCTTCAGATCTGTATGCCTTCCCTGACTTCCCCCACCCCTCACTGGCTGCTCTGAACCTTTCTTATCCTATATTTTCATTTGTAGTACTGTTCGCAATTACTTGTAGGCTATTTAACGTCTGGTATCCTCTACTAGACTGTAAGTTCCCAGGAGTTCATGGGAGTTTTGTTCACTTATGCACAGGGCCTGAAACATGCATGTCGTGAGTGGGTCTCAGGAACTAGGCAGCAGGCTGGTCTCAGACCTGGAGCAGGACTCAGAGCGAGCCTGGCAGCCAGGGGCCTGGGCTGGTGCCAGAGGATGGAATGAAATGCCTGTAGTCCCTTAGCCTGCAGGCTGCCCTGGTCTACGGCCCAGGCAGGGTGGCGTGCAGGTGGTGGATGGAATGCCCCAAGGCCTGGTCTTTCCTCCTGGGCCTACCTCTCAACAGCCATTCTGTCATCCACTCCAGATAGCTGCTGTAACTCCTGCCTGTAAGACACAACCCTGTCACCATAGGAAGAACTCTGGCTTTGCAGTCTTGTAGACTGTGCAAATTTTAAGGGGTTTTGAGATCTTTAAGTGATTGCTTAAATACTATCAACACCGCTTTCCTAATAAGTCAACATTCAGAATGACAGATTCCTTTGAATAGAATTTTACATGAGTTGTGAAATCCATTATTTAGGCATATGATGGCCTTGCACTTACTGTATATTTTGACTCAAAGATGCACATTGAACATGATTGACCTTGAATTGTGTCTTACAGCTTAGAAATGCATCAGTCTAATTTGAGCATTCTTCCTCTACAGCGGTAATAATGGTGCCTCTTACAATTTATGGTATGTTAAATTTGATGAAACATGGCATTCATTTAGTATTTATCATCTAAACTACTGCAAAGGGGTAAACAAATAAAATCAGGGTAATAAAAATGCAAACGTTTGGGTTAGAATTCTCAGGTGGTCAAATAATTGACTCTTCGCAGTTTTAAATCTCTGGCAAATTTTAAATTTTGATACCAGAGGCTCATATATTTGATGATTGTTTCCATACCATCTAAAACTGAAAAGAATTCCTCTGCTTATAGGTAAGAAGCACATCGCTGTCTTTGGAAGTGCAGAAGGAGAGTCGTCTGATGACAGCCTTGTCGATTTGGTAAGTGCTGAAAACCGGTCAATTGCAGAATTGCCAAAACACTGCTTTTATCCCGAATTGGTATTTCAGAGAAAGGCGGTCTGTGGCAGAGAAAGTCATGTAACCTTTTATGAAACAGACTTGCTTCCTCCCAGACAGCTAATCTTTGAACTTTTAAAAAGAAGAAAAATTGAAGTCCTGGTAAAATGATGGGCACACTTAAATGACTGGGGTGTGCACTTGCAATCTTGCCTCCTAAAATGAAGTAGGAAGGCCAGAATGTTCTTAGATAAAAATCAGCATGCTTACATGACTAGTAGAGCATCTGATGTACAGTCACACTATCTCTTTACCTTTGACACTTTCAGCTTATAAGCAGGCCACTTTACTCATGTAACAAAATGAGAAATTAATTTAATGAGAGTAAAAACAAAACAGCACACAGGGGCAGTGTCCTTTCTCCCTAAAGAACTGTTTGTAGTTTAGCAAAATATGACTCCATTTAAAATAAGCTGTTCCCTCACCTCTTTAGGCCGTTGGACTTGGTGTCCGGTTTATCAAGTTGGGAGGTCTTTCTCGTGGCGAACGGGTGACTAAGTACAATCGCCTCTTTACTATAGAGGAAGAACTTGTCCAGAATGGAACACTGGGTATGTGCTGCTTTCTTGCTTAGTTTCACTTAGCCATGAATAAGAGAACAAAGATTGGGAGATGGGGGAATAGAAGTCTCTCGGCAGGAGGGCAGGGAAATCCAAAGACTATAAATAAGTGCTGACAAAACTAGGATGGCATTTGCCACGTGTATTGTTTTCTTAATGGATTATCTATTTACCTGAATGTTTAAAACTCTAGCCCTAATCTTGATGAATAGGCTGTGTGATGCTTTTCAATAGACTTAATTGATTGGAATTTCCAAGCCTACCTTTTGTTATGGTCCAAATTATACTTAAGGTTTTCCTGCACAGCCCAGGAAAGTTAAAGGTGGATGTTTTCCTGGTGGTTCTTGGCAACAACTCGTTTTACTCAAGTAGATAGCATGTTAATTTAATGTACCTTGGAAAGGCTATGGTCTCAAGAGAGATGAACCAATCATTTACGACATCAAACTTTGTAAATCTGCAATGGGTAGAAGCACCTTATGTACTGGCTAATTGGAGAGCAACACCCCAAATATACATTTTTACTCTATGTATTACTGACTGTGATAGCCAAAACAAAGCATGCAAAGACATTTAAAGAGACCAATAGTTGTCTTGGAAATTCTAAAACTATTTTGTATTTTAAAATAGAATTGATATACTGCAAAAAAAAAAGTATGTTAATTAAGCAGTGCTGACATACTTGTATACCATAAATGAAACTATTAAATGAGATAGATGTATTATAGAATGTATTGTGGAACATACCAATTATCGAATATGAAAGCAAGGAAGTACCATTTTGTGACTAATAGGCATTTTTTAAAAGCGACCAAGAGAAATATTTAATTATTAATTTGTCACGTTTAACATAGGTAATGACCTTGTTTTCTAGAAAACAAAGATATAATTGGGAGACTAAGTCATGCAAGGGCAGTCAAGTTACTTTGTATTGTTTAGTGTGTAACAGTCAAAAGTTACTTTGTATTGTTTAGTGTGTAACATGAAGGCTTGTTTTTTCAAATAGGTAAAATTATACTGTTCCTACGTATCAGTCTGATTATTTTTTTTGTCATCCTGACTTGTGGAAGCTTTAGTTTCCTTCAGTGACCTATCACATTTCCAGCCAGACTTCACCACAAGGGAAACAGCTGCTTCAGGGCATCAAAAAGGACTCTAGTGACTGGAGGCCCAGCCCCTCCCTGGTGACAGTGCTAGCCCCTGAGCATTCCGGAATGGATTAACAGATTAATGAGGATTTCGCTGACATTGGCAGGGACCAAAAAACTGGATCACTGCACTGAGAGATTGAGTAGGAAATCTTGTCAAAAGCTCAGTCATTAAAACACTCTCCCTGCCCAGAAACACGTGGAACCTGACTGGAATAGTCTTAAGTCCTCAGTGGTTTACCTTGGAGTAGTTAGTTGGCAATGGTCTGTCTCACGCAGAGTACCAGCCTTTCCTCTAGTTCATCTTCCTCTTATCCTTTGCTGCTCAGCCTCTGCCCAAAGTCTGCTGTAAACCAAATGTTCCAGAATGTTGTCTAAGGGTACACTGCAAACTCAACAAGTGTATTGCAGTTAATGCATAAACAACATGCCCACTTTAAGGTGGTTCTAGAATCCTTCCTAATGGTGATGTGACACCTCTGGACAGTTCTAAAGATGATCTCCTTTAAATTATGTAACAAAGAACGTCAAAATTGGCACCACTGGATTAGACAGTAAAATTTATTGTTGTTTTTAATAGGGTTCAATGAAGAACACACGTTTTTCTACTTGAATGAGGAAGCCGAAAAGGCTGCCATGGCTGGTGAGCTTCCTGAGCCCCCGGAGCCCATCTTCGCCACAGAAGTTGTGGAGGAATCAGCCATGAGTGTCTTCCGGGCGGGCTGCACACCCACCAGCTGACAGCCACACCCCTGTAGGATTAGACTCCGGGGGATCTCAAGTATGTCTTCATTTTGGTTTTGGTCTAAAACTTCACTAACTCGTGTGCTTTTTCTTCTTTTAATTTCACTGTTTGGTGAAATACAGAGATAGTATCTTGCCCGGAATTATACCTGTGAACCCTGTCTTCTGGCCATCACATTTCTATGGGGATCTTGTTTGTATAGGAGCTCTCCTGTCCATTTTGGGGGGTCATGACCTAGTAAAAGAGTACAATATTTTTGCCACCAACTCCACACTCAGTTCAAATACCTCATACTTTACAAGTCAGAACATTTCTGAAAAAAATCTTTCACACTAGGAGCTCTCTCTGCCAGGACGGTGTACATCTTGTTTCATGGATTTTTTAAGAGCCAAATAGCTTCCTCTCACTTTCCTACACTTAATTCCCTTTTCTCTGATTCCCATCTCTTTCTAAATTTTAGTTGTTCATCTATCATTTATATCTTTGGGGGTCTCCTCAGGTCCTTTTTGGAACAAGAATGAGCATAAGTGAGTAAACACATCAATGAATGAATATTCTTAAAGCAATTAAATGCCCAATCATTTTTACTACAGCATCTAGTAGGTGATTTAAAATGATGCAACATATAGATTGGCTGAATTGTCTCTTCTGAAAGCCAGTATCGGGGTTATAGCAGAGGATGACCAGGAATAAACATATTCAAACACATACCTATCGATATAACAATATCCAACTGCTTTATATGATTTAGATTCTCTGTTCAAACTGTTACCTTTTGTCTTTCCCCCAAATTACATAAATTGCTATGTACTGACCTGTGGGAGAGTTGGCTAAGTTTAGATTTCTGATATATTCTGTAAGTTTTTACTAAGCATACTGAGGACCTCTCCTTTTGAAGAGTACTAAGAGGGGAAGGTAATGGCCTTACGGCAGAGCCAAGGCCTTACTCTAAAAGCAGTGATTTAAAATAGGCTCAGTGGCAGATTCTCTCAGAGCACAGGGCAGGAGAACTGGTTGGTATCACTCTAAGTTGGGAGAACTGTGTCACAGTTTGTTGTTGCTACTGCCTTTCCCAATGCTTAGCAATAAACAACGGATGAGTGTTCAGATAGCCTCTGCACATGTACATGTACACGCACACACACACACACACAGATGAAATATTGGAGATCGTATGAGAGTATGCCCTGGAAATGTGACAAAAATTATAATTAAATGAATGAAACTAGAGAAAAAAGGTACAACCAAGTTAATAACTGAATAACTACATTAAATTAACCAAAGAGGTGATTTATTACCTCAAGCAAGTCAACACTTTAATTTCAGCGCTGAGCACAGCCTAATTCACCGTTTCCTTACTTGAGGATTGGGGTCACCAAATGGATGTGTAGCATTTCAAGTTTTTGAAAGTGATAAGCATTGTTTCTATTTATATATTTTCTCTCTCTCTACATATATGTTAAAGGATATATAATAGATATAAAACATATATATATATGGAATCACATGTAAAGAGATGAAAGAAACTCATCATACCCTATATTTAAAAATGGCAGTGGGACTGGGAAATGTTAGTGCTCCGAAGAAACTTCAAACCAAATCCAATCCTTAAGTGAGGGCTGCTTGATGATCTTCCTAAGGTCAGCGATGATAAGAGATGGTTATCCATTCTCCACAACTTATTGCCATATAAACTGAAGCTGTTCCATGATGAAAGTGATTAAACATGTATAGTGTGCGTTTATAAAAATCATCCAAACTTTGTTTTTAAGATTCTGTGATACAGACTATACACTATACCTAACATACAACCTAAAAATGGTCTGAAAGATTAACAATAATCTCTACCTGTACTACTCCATTTCTAACAAACATTTACTGTTAACAAAACAGGTAAGGAAGGAGGAATTACTGGTGAGTAGCCAGAGCCAAAACATGCATCTTGTTTTAACTCAGGCCAATCAAGGCTGGGTGGTTACAGCCCTGTTAATTCCCTCCAATCAGAATTTCCACAGGACTGATCAACTGCTGAAACCACTGTAGGTGAGGAGTTCATGTGAGACTATCTCAGATACAAAAGGATGCTAGAATTAATGTTAGCAAATTAATTTTAAATGCTTTGTGATGTTGGTGAAGAAATAAGCAGCTCAGAAAAGGCAAGAACACTTTCAAAATATTGTACCAGTGACTAAATGTTGCCTGGTCCAGCTAACACATTTCACAAATGATTAACTCCTTACCCTGGAAAGGGTGTGTGATTAAATATGGAATGACAAGTGTACATATTTTTATATTCCTAAATATGTGTAAGACACATGCCAGCAGACTGATAACAGACACAGGAATGCAGAAAGCAGGAACAAAGAATAGAATTCCTCAAAATAAACCATTTTGTGGATTATTAAAAATTACTAAAGTTATAAAGTCTTACACAATTTTCATATTAAAGAATGTCAAGTTTGGGGAACTAAACCAAAAATGTCAATAACCACAATTGACCTTTAGTAGGAAACTGTTGGTGCTTTTTAATAAGTGTGGTGAGAAGAGTTCAAATCACAGCATAACAGAACTTGTTTAAGTGAATTAATGCAGTCTGTAGTTAGTATATCATATAGCAGTATTATTCAATTAGGGGAAATCACAGTTGAAAAACATTACATTTTAATTCCCTATGAGTAAACTGATAAGTAACTGTAAAATCATCACTGGAAAAACATGGAGACAATCAAGCATGATGAGCCTACAGAAAGATAATTATCTCCAAATTTAGGAAGTACATTTACCTGCCTATTCACCTTCTCAAGCCTATGTTTAGCATACGTGCAAAAATAAAACACAACTACTGCAATTATTACTATCATTTTCTTTTGCCCTTAGGTGAGAAACACCTGACAGCTTCATGCTGAGCTATGCTAACAAAACTAAACCTTTCACTTTCTTTAATAGTAAAATTACCATTACTGAATCACTGTCATAAAAAATGCACTCAAGTACATTACCACTTATTTTAAACAAACACCAGTTTTGAAACAATCAACTTTGAAAAGCTGCATAAGTTTTTTTTTTAATCCCTGATTACGTTGTATTTATTCACTGTGGTAGACTGAAACATTGTATTTTTAGAGACTACCACCTAATTTCTTTGAAGAGAACAACAGACCTGTGTAATGTAGAACAGCAGTGAAGCAAGACAACTGTATGCCTGTCACCCATCTCCAGTGAACATAAGAACTGTGATAAAATATGGTCCTTGTGCCACGTGAGTCCATGAGAAGACACAATTAACTAACAGCACAGAGCACACGGCTCATCAAGATAATACTCTATTCAATTCAGGGTTTGGACCTCACCTCAATTCTGCCTTCTGGCCACTAGAGCCTTCCCTCCAAAGTCCTTGGGAGGCTGTGGACACAATCAATAGTATGTGTTTTGCATCCCACAGTTAATAATGTGTTGTAATTAACACTGGGTATGGGACTACTAGTTTGACATCAGCTCCTGAATTTTAAGCTTATCTCAGTATATCCTAGAAAGTAATTTGTATGCCACAGTGCCTAACCATTTCCATGCTACTGAAATTTCTCCATCAAAAAAGGATCAGACCCAAAGCAGAAGCTTCTTTGGGGGCTTTTAAAATCACCTTAAGCTAGTCACTTCTGTTTATCCAATTATACACAAGTGCTGCAAACTTTCATCATTACATTTGATTAGTGGTATGCACATTACCTAAAAAGATAACATGAATTTTTTGTAAACTTCTAAAAGAAGTCACACTTAATACAGTAACTAGAAAAAAATCTTATCCCTATAAAGATTTAAAAAACTACAAAGAATGTGTACTTTGCTAAATAGCTTACTTATATTTATAAGTGAACTTACAAAAGTGACATCAAAAAAGAACCTATACTCTGAATACAGTGGACAAGAACAGAATGTCTATAGCCCTTGCCAATACACCAAAACTAAATCATGTGCTTGTTGAAAAGGACTTCTGAGCATATCCGCCTTCTGGTTTATGGATCAGCAGTTGGAGCTGTCTGTATCTCTTATTTTTTCAACACTGTCTTCTTTGTCTTCTGGTTTAATTTCACCTTCATCATCCTTGTGTTGAGTTGGATCTTTTTCAGCGACCTGGTCTTTGGTTTGGGGTTCATATGTGGAAACAGGATCTAAAACTACAACTGGTTCAGCTTGTTTTTCACTGCCAATGTATTGTCTCCTGCATCCAGTGTTACTGGGAGGCCTAGGGGATGAACAGTTAAACAAAAAAATTAAAAGCAGAGAGAAAAAACATTTATCTTTCAGATTCCTGGATTCAGATGAGCAAAAAACCCAAAACATTCTAAGTCTAATCAACATGCAAAAAGTGGTCTCTGAGGTGCCAGCCATTACAAAAAAAAAAGCTATTAGATTACATATTAGGAGCACAAGGCCAGAAGACGGAAAAAGAGCAATTAACTGCATAAATGTTAAAAAGCCAAATGCACCTACCTGCTGAATTGCATGCTTTTCTCACAGAAGCACAAAGCTCACGGATACTCTGTGCACACCTCCCCACTGCCTGCCGCCCCCAGACTCCTGTCCCACCCCCACTTAGCTGGAAGGAGCCAGTTAACCCCTCCCTTGTGTGCTGGGGTACATGTGATTGCAGATTAGTTCTGAGACTCCAACAAGGAGGGAAATAATCCACTCCCATCCCTGATGGGCAGCTGAGAGATATGCCAGCTGCTGCCATTAGTGGCAAGAACAACTCTGGTCAGACCTGTGGAGGGATGAGGGAAGGAACAAAGGCAGATGGGAGAATCCAGAGAAGAAGCTGAAATGCTAAGTTACCATATACACTTTTTCTAAAAAAGGAGAATCATGTTTAAGAAATTTCTTATTGAATTTCAAATGCAGTTTCTTTTTCCACTGAGGTTCCCTTTCTTCTCTTCTAAGAAGCTACTGCTTCTCAAGCTAAATGGGCAACAATTTCCTTGTGGAAACAGAGATGTCC